AGTTTATTTTGAAAAGTCTCAACAGGATCTTGAGCTTTATTGTGAAAGGTTTATGTGGAACATAAACAAGCGGACACGCGATGGTGTTACCGTCGTTGTTGCTAACCACAACGCATAAAACAGGCGCTTGTCCGTCTGTAGTGTGGTTATATTAAATTTAAGAAAAAGAGAGAACTTAAAAAATTAATATAGCCACTACAGTGACCATCAAAACGATGAAAAAAATATTGCCGTAAACAGTTTATTTTGCGACACTGCGAAACAAACGATAGCGTAAAATGAAACGATGGACGTTTTTATATCGTCATCCCCTAACAGCTACTGTTCACTTTTGTTCAAGTTTTAAATTTAAGTTTCCCGTTACATCTTGTGTTTTGAAGTATTTGATGGCTGTGGCTGTGAATGGTTGTCTGTATTTCTCAGTTTTACAAAGAACCCTATTAACCACTTTTAAGGTGTTTCTATGAAAGCCCATGTCACATTATACAGACCAGGAAACATATTCAAGTTTGGCTTATACGCCATGTAAGCCCAGAGGAACATGGGAACTACTCCCTGCCTTGAGTCTGTATACTAAGCTATGCTAATTGCTAATTGGGCTAATACCATGAGAGTGGAATTGCTCATGTAACAACTTTAAGAAGAAAGTAAATTACAGTTATGGTTTAGTTTTAGTTCAAGGCTATGAAGATCTGAGAAGGTCACGAGAACAGATTTGTTTTCAATCCTGTCCATTTTTACTCAGTAAAACATCATTGTGGTAAAACTGAAAATATCTGATGAATGCCTGACCTGAATGTAGCTGCTGTTGGACAGCAGGAGAAATGCTTAGTAACGGACACAACAACACGAGTCTGTGTTTATGAGGGAGAGATAATAAAAACACACAAGCACACACACATACACACATACTTGTTCAGGAAACAAATGATGAAATATGAACTTGTCAGACAGGCGAGACCCATTACTGATGTTGATTAAAGAGGGTAATAAGAGAATTTAGGGAGGTTGTAGCATCTAGATCTCTTTCTGTTCTCCACTCTTAGAGTTATAACTTATGAACATTGACTTGCTGCCTTTTCACATATCAGTAAGGGCATCTTTAATTAGAAAGTTTGTGGCTCTCAGTGTTCGGCCGGAGTCTTTATTAAGTGATTTTTTTTTTAATTTGAAAGATGACCAAAGCAAACTGCACATGATGAACCTGACAACGTGCTGATATTATCAGTTTGAAGAGTTAATTTTCATCTGAGAAGATCACATTAGCAATATTATTTAGTTTTTATATGATTTAATTTGGAAATGTTAGTAATACGGTAACTTTTACATTTTTGATATATAAATAAATTATGATTGAGTTAGAAGATTTACAGTTTATATATTTATTTTTTTAGTGTTTTTTTTAAATTTCCTTATCCATATTTCCATATTTATTATTTTTGAGCTAGAGTAGCTTTGCATGATTTACAGTTCATAATAATCCTTTTCTGTTATACTTATTTCCTAGGCATTTGTGAAACAAGCTGTTTCAGCTTCTCCCCCTTCCTCTAAACTCATTTTCTATGGAAAGGCTTGAACAGGTTTGAACAGCTGGAGGGAGGAGTTTCTGTGCTCGCAGTCAGAGCCTTTGATTATGGTTGACTCGTCGGTCATCGCTTGCGTGAACTGTGACGTCAACAGGAACCGTCACCAGGGCTGTGACCGGCTTTGAAGTCACAGAGGTTTAGACCTTTTTCAAAATGAGTCAGTAAAAATGTCTCGAATGCCTGTGTGATGCTCCAGATGGCTTTCACACTGCCTCTTATTGGGTTGTGTTTAGGAAGTTAGGCTGATGCGTGACTCATGAGAAATGATAATGGGTTGGTTTAGGCACAAGTAGTGACTCAGAGCAACATTAAGACCAGAGTCATTTAGTTACTTTGTGTGTTATTTTAAATTCAACTTTTAAAAAAAGTCTTTATTTGGCGTTTTGCTTTATTTGATTGTTTTATACACTCACAACTCTCAACTTTCACATTTCTTTATACACAGTCACTCCTGTAAAAGAAAGAAGTGTACAAATGTAAAGTCTTTTATGGGTTTTGATTGTACTGGATCTCAAGGACCTAGTGTCTTCAGATGTGTATTTAAGGTGCTACACTTTAAATATGACACAAGAGAAAAACTTCTGGCTCTGCCTGTCACCATTTATACTCACTGGTTTCCATGCTGTCTTCTTCTGCTCTGTTATGCTAACGCACTGATATATCTGTAAAATGCTGTATTTGCACTGAACCACAAGTGGAAAAAAAAGAAACCTGATCTTTTGCCTGGACAGAAATTAAATAGACTTTTAGTTTTAATTTTATTTATATCACACCAGTTTGCAACAGCAGTCCACTCAGGGCATTTTATATTGTAAGGTAAAGACCATAAAATCATAGAAAGTAAACCCCAGTGAGCACAAGACCCCCGTGAGCAAGCAAGTGTCAACAGTGGGAAATAAAAACTCCAGCAGAGGTAGGCTCAAGGAGGAGCAGCCACCTGCTTTGACTGGTTTGTTGGGCCAAAGTTTCATTATTTGAAATTTTGGCTGTATTTAATATAAAAATCTCCCATTGTTTCTACAAATATGTCAAAAAGTTGAAAAGAAAAACAATTTAAAGCTAAACTAAGTATTTTTTTGTCAGCCTTTTACCAGCGTGTGTGTGTGTGTGTGTGTGTGTGTGTGTGTGCGTGCGTGCGTGCGTGCGTGCGTGTGTGTGTGCGTGCGTGCTAGAAATTACAATTTTATGTTTACATATTTTCTTGATGGTATCTCCTTCTGTGTTGAATTAATTTGAAGAAATGCTGTGTAGACAGAGAACTCTAACACAAAACACCTGTGTAAACAAACAAACAAAAAAACAATAATGTCATGTTGTATCACACACAGAGCAGACGCCAGCTGCTAGACTCTTAACAACAACCCAAATTACTTTCCCTGTTTAAGTCTCCGTCTTATCAGACTTACAGCCACCTTAGTTTGTAGAATGAACCTCCAAACAAACGTTCATCAGCTAACATCGTTTTCCAGGTTAGGTAGATCATTTCTCTTCAGCTATAACATATTAATCCTTACATTTAGACCTGAAGCAGATCATTTTTTCCAATGGAATATCAGCTCCCTGGTTCTCGTCAAACTATTTGTGCAGTGTGCTAGGTTTGTGACTTTTAAAACAATTTCAGAGGTTTTACTCTTTATGTCATCATTTGACATTCAAAGGCTGTCAAATTTAAGTTAGCTGGAGGCCAAAAGGTCTCACAGGTTCACATCCCCCATTCCAGACATTGGGATTTAGCTCCTGTGGCCACAGACAGCTGAAAGGAGAGCTTTGAACATCGCTTCAGCTAAAAAGCTCCTACAAAAAGTGCAAATAGCTGTCCATTTATGCACACACAATCAAACAAAAGTGGAGCAGCACACACTTTTTTATAACTTGGCTTAATCTGCTTTAAACTAGTGCCAGACTGCCTGCTGACTCAGTGTCAGAAAAACAACCCATGCACGTAAGGAAGCTGCAGTAGTCACTTCGGTCCAGTTAGACGGCAGTGTGATTCATGCTCTTCTGTTCCATTAACAGCACAGAGTTTACCCTTCACTTACAGCTGCACAGATTTGACTTTTCTTTCTGTCACACACATAACTGCCCCTCCAGCCATCTAGGAAAAATAAGCATTTATGGAATTTCCCCAAAAGACTCTTTTGTTTTTCTCATAAATAATTTAAACTAAATGTGAGTCTTCATGTATTCTGACTTAATTAAGATATTAAACAGTAGCACATGAACCTGTTTTCTCTGCAGGCCGTTCCTGGTGCTGCCCCCGCTGATGGAGTGGATCCGGGTGGCGGTTGCTCACACTGAACATCGACGGAGCTTCTCTGTGGACAGTGACGATGTGAGGCAGGCTGCCAGGCTGCTGTTGCCCGGCGTGGACTGCGAACCCCGACAAATAAAGTAAGAATACGATGCCAATAACATTTACTGCACAAACCTGCTGGCGAATGAAGCTCAGTGTCATCCATTTATGAAACCTGTAAGCCTGCACATGCACGTTCAGTCAGCAGATGCTGCATTAGCATAAACTTCAACCACGTCTCGTATACCAAACACAAGAATGACTTGCAACAATCACTCACACTTTATTTTAACAGAATCTCATCCACAGTGTTAGAACATGTAGATGAATATGGAGACATGATCAGCAGTTACTTGTACATTTGCTTTCTGATTACAGATTTGAGGTCAGCTGTTTACATGTAACCTGACCTATTACATGGTGTTTACATCAGACAAAACATTTTAAGAGAGCAGTTTGACTTGAACAGACCTGATCAATATGTCATCATCCAGTCATCCTCCTCAGTGTCCATCTTTGTATATCGAACAGCTTTTCAGTAGAATAGTTGCGATTATTTTATTTTTCATTATTGAAAGGTGTGTTTTGCGATCACCCTCTACGGAATTTAACAAAAACTGTCACCACCAGGGGGCAGAGTTTCATAAGCACGGTGCTGTTTTCCTTTTCTTTTTCATGCTGTGTCTTTCCACCTTTTGCTGTCTCCTTTGGAAAGTAGGAATGTGCTGCTTTGCTACAGACAGGGGAAACACTGGTTCTATATCACCACACGGACAAAACATTATTACAACCGTGTGCAATGACACTGCAGTCCTGTTGCCCATGAAATGGTTGCTTTGAAGACGTGGACCCGCTTTGCAACTACCTGACGTCAGTTGGCAACTTCAAAACAACTCAGTCTGCTGTAGGTCTATCAGTTTGGCTGGCAAATACATGCACTTTATCTATGACAATACAGCAATTAATGGATAAATCCCCACACGTAAATTCATTTTAACTCTTATATTGTGCAATGAAACCATTTTGTCTACAGCTTTATATAAATAAGCAGCATTTAGGGATATCTAACTGACTTTTATCATCCCTTGACTTTTCCACCATTACCTGCAGGTTTACACGAGTGGCAAATTTAGTGAAGTCCTTCAGCAGCTGTTTGATGGCTTGCCATAAAAATTACAGGACACATATGATCGTAACTCCACAGACTGCATATAAAATATGGAAATAGATATTCATCACTAATTGGTCATTGTAGACTATGATTATGAAACCTCAGCACAAGCATTTTGACCATCATAATCATCTTTTTTTGTTATTGTTGTTGTTTTTTGGGTGGGGGGTAACCAGATGTGGCTGAACTATCTTACAAGGAAAGTTACTAATCAGTGGAAAGAAGCTTGCTCATTAAATGTTGACCAAAACTGGAGCACAGATTCTTGGATTCGGTTTTAAACCATATTTTTTAGATAATTACAATTAAATTGTTTAAGGGGCACAAACATAGATTAGAGGACCTCTGTGATGAATAGCAACCAGCCACACCCCAATTATACATGACTTTAGCCCTTTAATACAATTTAATTTGTGTGAGTTTATTCATTAAGTTTATTTTTTATTTAATCTTAAAATGGGAATCTGTGGGGATCGTCATACATTTAAAGCTGGGCTGCAGTTTTTGACACTTTTGCATTGGCTTCATTGTTTTCACCCACTGCGGTTGTTGCTGAGTGGAGCGTAAAGACTGACTAGGGATGGCAAGGACAGCTGGGAGAAAATATGGAGCCAAACTAAACAAATGAGTGTGATTAATGGAATAATGTGGGGATTATAGACAAAAAGTGTGCGCCGGCCTTTAGTTCACAGGAGCACACCCTGTATTGTTTTATTATTAATGACAACATTAACAACATGTTAACATTTCATCGTAGCCCCACAGTGAACTGAATTTCGCCTCGCACTGTAAAATTTAAAAGCTTTTTCATGAGGCTTGTCAGTTGCTAAATGAACTGTGTTTGTCCTTCTTTCTTGGACAGCAGTAACCTATAAATCTTCTCTCTGTATTTGTTTCTGACTCACTCACAGTCTCGCCTCGCTCGCCCTCTCTTTCTTCCCTCATTTGCAAACACTCCACAGCGGTTACAAAGCCGTGCACCATATTTACCTCGTCGCCGCTTACTCTGTAATCTTTCTGTAATTTGTCACAGAGTCACCGGGTTAAGAGTCTTTTCACTTTTCATGTATTTGTAAAGAACTAATAAATGAACTACTTCGAGGTGCCAATTAATGCATCTCTTTGCATATGTCAGATTTAACTGTCATGTATATGTAGACCAACATCCGGCAAAGGTTTCTCTGTGGAAACTGCAGTTGTGACAGATGCTTGGATTAAGAGGCTTTACGGGGGACGTGAGTGGGTAATAATGAGTCACAGCAGAAGCCTTACCTGGAGAGAAGCTGCTTAAGAAAAGTACTGAACCAGAAGCAATCAAAGAGAAGTGAGTGTTGACAAACTCAGATATTAAGGAACTGACTTTCAAATTGAAGCAGATCAGTACTTATAAAGTTGCAAGTTTGTTTCCTGATAAGGAGAATTTGAGTTATGAAAGCCTGATCAGCAATCGTTTTCAGCTTCCCTCAGCATGCCGTGGAGATGTATGTGCTCGGATCTCAAAATCCATTTCTGACATAAGCTTCGTCTTAATCAAAGTAATAGATCTGCTGTTTCTGTCTGCAGAGCCGAGGATTGCTTCTGTGCCACTAGAAAGCTGGACGCAGCCTCCACAGAGGCCAAGTTCCTGCAGGATCTGGGCTTCAGGATGCTCAACTGCGGTCGGACGGACCTGGTCAAGCAGGCCGTGAACCTGCTGGGGCCTGATGGCATTAACAGCATGAGCGAGCAGGTCTGGCACCTAACACACCCACGCTCTCCTGCACACACACTCACATATATATAACAACTTTAAAATCCCACATTTGCACAGCTCAGGGGTTGGAGATACAATAAATTGTGGATTTCTAGCAAGTACCTGGCAACCCAGTGCAGTTCATGCACACATGCTGAGCACAGGCTGCTCTCTCACTGAGTAATGCAGCGTGCTAAATTCTTATGCCACGATACAGTTTTCATGCATCTTTCTTTTTTTTAATACAGAAGGAAAATAATCCACATTTTTAAGAGAGTTTTTCTTTGTGTCTGTTCGTGTGTACAGCACTAACCCTGCACAAATGTCCTGCCGCTTCTTCTCAAAGTAATAACTCAATTTCAAACTCCAACCTTTCAAATTTCACACACTGCAGTTTTGTCAAAGCAGATGCTGCCTCTGGGATACTTACAAGGTGTCCGCCAATGAGGGCAGGAGTGGTAAATCATCACTACCCCCAATGGGAGCTTCATTTTCTCGATGTTTACTTTCACTTTTACTCGTGGTTTGGAGTTTTTGGGTTAAGAAAACATCTTTTGACAGTAATAAAGGCGTAATGATCAAGCATTCATTTGTGATGATTTGGGAGTGAGACCAGGCTCGAAACACTCATCCAACAACAATCAGATGAACCCACACTTTACAGAAGTGCAAAGATCTCAATTATCCATCCAGTCTCAAAGGCATTTCTTGTCATGCTTCGGCTGTGTGCAGGCTGGATGAGGACCCAATCGCAAACTCATGGAGGCAGGAATGAACTCAAAATTCACAGCTTTATTGCTGGAGAGCAAAACCATACAAACTAAACTGGGAAACTATAACGTAATAGACGGAGAAACACGCAGCCATGAATGAGGGAGAACGCGACACAGAACTGAGGGAGACGCAGACATAAATACACAGAGGGTTAACGAGGGAAGTGGGAGCACACGGGGAACACAGGTGACACTGATGATCATAACAAGACACGGCAGGAGTAAACGCAACACTGACGGGAGACTGTCAAAGTAAAACAGGAAGTACACAGAGGTTCAGACAGGAGGAGAGAGAGCACGGGGAGAGCACAGACATAACGGGCTGGGGAAAACATGGAATGAAACACAAGGAGGGGAAACGAGGGCTCACAGATACACAGGGGGTAATCAAATAAGGAACATCTTAACAGAACCTAGGAACCACGGCATAAATAAAGAACGAAATACAAAACACACAAAAGCTAAGAATACTGGCCCAGGACCATGACATTTCTTAGATCCTCAGGTCTTAGCTTAAAATGAGCTTGCACCTAGTGATAATTTGCTTTTTTGATTAACCTTCACTCGTCTAAATTCTATATAAAACCTATAGTAAGTCAGAACCTTGCCACAGGTTTTAAGCCAGATCATTATATTTCAGTAAAAAAAAATCATACATTTTATCACACATCTCAGCGAGCTGCGATTAACCACCGCCTAGTTGCCTAAAAAATCAATTGTAGATTGCTGATTGTTTTTCTGTCAATCAACAGACTGATCATTCGTGTAGGAAACAATTAGTATTTGAACGGCAATTCGCCGACTGTGTGCAAACAACAGTCCAAGTGATTTGGCACTTGGACACAGGCAGTGGTTCGTTGGGCTTGTTTCTGGGATATCTGACACGTTCTCGCTCTGATCAGTGTCTGGAGTCCATGACAGATTAAACACCTTGGTGTTTTGATCCACTTCTATCCAACAAAGATTGCAGACGGTTCCGACCGGATGGTGGGTCAGTCTGAAGCAACGTTTAGACGTTAACATCAAGTAACGTCTACGTGAATGCCAGGATGCAGGGTTGCGCAGCAGAACGTAGATGATTAATGTTTTGCACTTGGTCCACCAGTGGTTTTAACTGGGGATTAAACTGGAATCTGTGTATTTGGTTCAGTTGTGCACCCTTAAGCACCATCGAGTGGATCCCAGTGATGCAGTAATTTCAATCAGCCCTTGAAATATCACAAAAACAGCTTCATACATAAGTTCCTTATTATTTTTAGTTTTAATAACGCATGTGAGCATTTGTCTGTGATGGAGAGCTACATCTTACATGGTGGTTTGTTATTTGTTGGCAACGTAGACGTGTTAGTTCTTGGCAGTAAAAGGACTGCGAAAGCTGCTTCTCTAAGCTGCTGATGTATCACAGATATGTGGTTCTTGCAATAATCCTCATTTTTTGTGTATTTTTGCTTTCTTTTTCACTTTTACAAAAATGTACTTGCCCTTCATGCCTAAACACGCTGCCTGCAACAACTTTCACTTGAGGACAGCAAAGGGATAATAATGAATAAAAGAAAACGGAATGGTTAACTAAACCTGCTCATCATATAAAACCACAATATTTCAGGTTATAACAGCTGGCAGAGCAAAGTATGTTTAAAACAGAAAAGAATAGCAGGGGTTTTATTTATTTATTTCTCCCTCATCCTCCTCCAGATCTAATATATCAGGTGAGCGAGGTGAAGACATCAAGTCCTTTGCATCTCCACGTCATGCAGTGTGACTAAGCCTCGCCCTCTTTAAGACCTCAAGGATCTGATTAAAATCCCTCAGTTTTACTTGCGTGACTAAAGCTAAAGATGCTGTAACCTCTGACTCACTCTGACTTCAGCAGCTGAGAACTGTCTCAAAAATACATGAAATGATTGTTATTTTCTACATTTTTTTAACATATAATTAAGATGAAGTCATAGTAGGATCCTTAACTTGACTTAATTCGACACACATTTCTTAAAACTCGCACCAACTCCTCTTGGCAATGAAAAAAACATTTTTTTTCCTCTTAATCCTTTCAGCACAAAAATGCATATTTCACAGGTCTGCAAAGGAGTGGTCTCATCCCCACAGCCCCTGCCTCATGTGCTGCTATTAATTGCTCATTAAACACCACAACATGCTGGCAGTGGCCCAGCGGGGACATGAATGTAACCGCATGGATAACAAAGAAAATACAAATATAATAATCAGTGGACCTCGACCAAATGGAATCTAGTAACATTGCGGCAGTGAAGTAACAAATAAACCTGTTACGACTCCAGCTCACTGGGGTAAGGGGGAGGAGCATTAATTAACCAGATGGAAGAGGTTAAATGGGAGTTAATTAGTTCATTTTATAGATTTTTCCACCGGCAACGAAATTTTAGAAGCAAAGCAATCACAAAACGAAGAAGAAGAAAAGCAGAAGTGTGTCGCAGTTATTGTTTGTGGAGTTTTAGTTGAGGACCAGCTATTCAGGGCAAATATATGTGCTCACAAATAAGTCTAAAAGGTAACAAAAGTACAACAAAAACACATGAAAGTGGTAGAATCCAAAAAGGTAGAGGGGTAACAAAGGAAAGACAGCATATATAAGCATACACTGAAGGCTGATGGGAACATAATTACTGGAAGTGAGAACAACCAGAGAGTTGGAGAAGACACGGGAAGTAAAACTAGCACAGGAAATACTAAACACAGACACAAGATTAACACTCGTCATAAAGACAGAAACGAGGGAAGAATTGAGGAAAAAGGAATGAACAGGGAGACAAACTAAGAAATCAAAATTTACACTAGAACAATCATAAAATGTCTCCAAAAGTGAACCAGAAATTCATTCTTCCACTTTGAGCAGAGACACCCAGACCCCCCTTTGCTCAGCCACATGCACCAACTCTTCTGGGGGACACCAAGATGTTCCCAAGCCAGCGAAGGGAGTGTCTAGGGTCTGCTACCAGTGGAACATCCCTAGGTGTTTTGGGTGCCTCCTTTCAATGTGGAGGAGTAGAATCTGTACTCTGAAACGTTCCTGATCTCCTCACCACTTGTCCCTAAGAGAGACACCCTTCAGATCCTCATTTTTCCAGTCACTACCCAGAGGTCAGGTCGTGACCAAACAAGTATCCAAAAATATAAGAACCAAAACTTTAAACAATACAATAAATAAATACCCGAGTTTACCTGATGTCCCTGGCCAATGGTCGTACACTCATTGCCGCCTACTTAAAAAGAAAAAAGACAGGAGGCAGTAGCACCTCTCAGCCTAGTGCCAGGGATGTGTATGAATGAGAAATGCCTCAGCTAAGAAGAGGCAACACCCAATATCAAGTCACCTTGAACTTCGCAGTGTGCAAACAGGAGGTATGAGTCCTTTTAACAGTTTTCATGGTGCTGTGGATGGAGCCGGGGGCTGGAGAACCGGATTAATCAAAGGTGGCAGTAGGCGGGATGCAGGAGGAGCAGTCAGGTGAAGAAGAGCAAAGAAGCAGATGCGGGGGCTTGCACACACCACCCAGCATACTGATCGCTTAAATTACTCAAGCAGGGAGGAGAGGAGCGACTCAGGGCTGTAGCAGAGCGGCATCCAGCTACAGATTGTGCCATGACCTTCCTGTTCATCCTGAAAGTGGAAGGGGAAAGGATTTTTCTTTTGTTGCCTGCTACTGCAACACTTTTCCTGCTCTGAGCACTGACAGGTCAGGTCAGTATCTCAGTCCCACTACAGCCAAGTGTCACTTGGGAATCTTCACCTTCGTGGAAATATTGGCTATTCCCAGTGCTGCTAAGTGGAAGTTAATTGTGCAATCTGACTTTCCGCGGTCAATAAGCTGCGCCTAGTTAGGTTTAATTAAGATTTGCTTGGCAATTCTTCACTCAGACAATCTAAAAATAAAGTCCAGGTCTGGTTGATTAATGTTTGCTTAAACACATTATATATTGTTTATAATATATTACAAAAAAATGTGAAAAAGAGATGCTTGTTAAATTGACAGATTGTATTGACTTATGCTTTCCTTCCTCTCCCCTCACATAAATACGAGCCTGTGACATGCAGGCTTTTATCTCCTTGTAAAGGAGGCTAAATGGAGCAAAAGACCAGACAGCGTTACAGGAGCAATAAAGTAAAAGCTGGAGTCTGTCATAACGGCTAAGAGACATTTAGACCTCATCACGGTGCTCATCGCGGTCCGTCGTCTCTCGCCCTTT